CCTCCTCCTCCTCCTCCTCCTCCTCCTCCTCCTCCTCCTCCTCCTCCTTCTCCTCCTCCTCGTCCCCCTCCTCCCTCTCCTCCTCCTTCTCCTCCTTCTCCTGCTCCGCCTCCTCGTCGTCGTCCTCCTCCTCCTCCTCGACCAGCGCGCCGCTGGCGGCGAGAGAGGGCATGGGTGAGGAGCAGCCAGGATGAGGGAGGTTGGGGGGTGGGCCTTCGGTTGGCAAGGATGTTGTGACACCCGCGGGCGCGGGGGGGCCTCTGCATGCTCGACGTAGAGAAACCGAAGAAGCAGAAGAAGAAGAAGAAGAAGGAACACCATAAACATAAACTGTTGGCGCTCCGCGCTGATTTCTTGGATCCGCGCTGGCCCCCCCCCCCGCTGCGCCTCCAGCGCCGCCCCTGGCGCGCTCCGCGCGCCGGGGGCCGGGGGATGGGATGGGGTCCAGCGCAGATCCAAGAACTCCGCTCCTAGCGCCAAACAATCATGCGCATGCCGTTTTTTAAAAGTGTTGCAAGCATGCTTTCGAAAGAAGAAGGCTCGACGATTCTTGATCCTACTCCGCGCTTTTCCTTCCGACCAGATGCCGCTGAGAGCCGGTCCTCAGGCCAGTGATTTGGGCCGCGCAGGCCGAGAGGGAACGGAACGGCGATCTTCGAGGAGAGGCCCCAGAACCTGTTGCTCGGGGTGGCGCTCCTGGAGGCGGACCCCGCCGCGGCCCCGAGGGGTGCCCCCCCCCTCCCCAGGTCCAAGAAGGGCCCGACGCGCAGCCGAGCGTTTCGGTGCCTTCGGCCCTCCAGGACGCCATCCGGAACCTCCTCGAGTTCCGCGCCGACCGGGGCGCCGACGGCAAGGGGGCCCCCTTCCGCTGGCGGGCCGTGGGCGCAGAGAGGGCGGCGCGGAGGGCCGCCCTCGGCGGCGCCGGGTGCGACGACGGCGGCGTGGACGCCTGCTGCGACGGGCCAGAGTTCGCGCAGCTGGAGCTCCAGCGGAGGGGGGAGGAGGAGGAGGAGGAGAGGAGGAGCGGAGGAGGAGGAGGAGGAGGAGGAGGAGGGAGGAGGAGGAGGAGGAGGAGGAGGAGGAGGAGGAGGAGGAGGAGGGAGGAGGGAGGAGGGAGGGAGGAGGGGGAGGGAGGGGGGGAGGGAGGAGGGAGGAGGGAGGGAGGGGGGAGGGTCTGGGGGAACGAATAGTGACACAGGCACAAAGACTCGGAGGTCCGCGCGGATTCTTCGGACAGGCGCGCGGGACCCGCGGCGGCTCCCCAGGCGCCGCCACTGGCGCGCTCCGCGCGTGGGGGGGGGAGCGCCGATCCGAGAAATCCGCGCGGACCTCCGATCATTCCGAGTCAGAACTCTGCTCCTCCTCTGCGCGGTGGCGAGGGAGAAGGAAAAGGTGCCCATGCTGGTACCCCTCGTCCGCATGCCCCATCTTGGGCCTCCTGGGAGGCCCTCGTCGCCGCCGCTGGACTCGCCTCGGAATCCTAGTCAGAATGCACCTAGAGAAACCTCCGAGTTTTTATGCTCATGTCATGGATCGTTCCCCTAGGGTTCAGTCGGGCCTGTCCCTCTACAGGCGGAGTTCTAGTTAGAAAATAGCGTGGCGACGGTGTTTCGACAAATTTTGGACTATGTTTTTTTGGTTGGGGATGGTTTTTTCGACAATCCGCCTGTAGGAGGACACGCCCGACCTAACCCTAGGGTGGGCCCAGACCTTTTCGCGCCGTAGGGAGAATCAGAGGCCAGGACTCTTCAGCCACCGGCCTGGGCACCGATTTTTTCCTGGGCCTCGGGGGGCGATGGATGTGGATCATTATCAGGCCGCCTGGGGCCCAAATATACCCAGATCCACTGCCCCCTGGGGTCCTGGGACATCGGCCACCCAGGCTGCGGATCTGTCCCAAAACTGGCCTTACAATCACGACGGGATGTTTTTTGGTGGTTGTGATGTTTGGCTTCCGAAGGGCCCTCACCGGGCCCTGGGCCTGGGGTCCGCATCGTGAAAAGCACGGCGTGGGAGGTCTGCGGGGTGACAAGATGGCTTGGCAGCGCTCGGGCGTGTGCACGTCTTCTCGGCGAGAACCATCGAGAGGAGCATCCTGCATCAACGAGCCAACAAGAAACCAGCACGCACGACACCGAAACACGCACTGGGGCTGGACGCCCGAGCAATGGCGAGATGGAGGCTCAAGGATTTCTGCGCTCTCCGCCCTCCCTTGGCCTCGGGGGGGGGGTGCTGCTCGCCGCGACGGCTGGGGTCCCCCTCGGAGTTCTCAACAACTCGCCTCTGGCGAGAGCTTGGGGCCGACTGTCGAGGGAGGAGGAGGACGACGAGGAGGAGGAGGACGACGAGGTGGAGGAGGAGGAGGAGGAGGATGTAGAGGACGACGAGGTGGAGGAGGATGAGGAGGAGGAGGAGGAGGAGGAGGAGGAGGAGGAGGAGGAAGAGGACGACGAGGTGGAGGACGACGAGGTAGAGGAGGAGGAGGACGGGAGGAGGACGACGAGGTAGAGGACGACGAGGTGGAGGAGGAGGAGGAAGCTGAGGAGGAAGACGCATGGAAGTCTCACGAAAACACGACTGTGAAAGGGGCAGCATATTAGTGCAAAGTTGGAGATGAGGCGTCTGGTGCATAGGGATATGAGGCTCTGGGGCTATAGGGCTATAGGACTATAGGGCTTTAGGGCTACAGGGCGGGTTAGATGGCTATTGGGCTATAGGGCTACAGGGCTTTAGGGCTTCAGGGCTATAGGGCTATAAGGCTATAAGGCTATAACGCTATAGGGCTATAGGGCTCTAGGGCTATAGGGCTATAGGGCTACCGGGCACCCGGGCATCCGGGCACCCAGGGCACCCGGCACCCGGGCACCCGGGCACCCAGGCACCCGGGGGCACCGGGACATCCGGGCATCCAGGCACCCGGACATCCGGGCGTGCCGCCGAAATTGGCGCCACAGCGAACCTAACCGTATGATACTGGGGAAAACCCCAATCATAATCTTTTTAGGGATATGGGGCTAAGGCTCTGGGGCTATAGGGCTATAGGGCTATAGGGCTATAGGGCTATAAGGCTACCTCTGGCACCTAGGCTATAGGGCTAGGGCTATAGTTCTATAGGACTATTAGGGCTATAGGGCTATAGGGTTATAAGGCTACAAGGTTATGGTGCTATAGGGCTATAGGGCTACTGGGCACCCGGGCACCTGGGCTCCCAGGCACCCGGGCGTGCCGCCGAAATCGGCGCCACAGCTAACCTAACCATACGAATCCGCTAGGGCCCTCACAGAGGCAAGCTCTGATTGGGGAATGGATCCGCTAGGACCCCTGCAGAGGCAAGCTCTGATCGGGGAGATATACGGCAGGGTAGAGTAGAGTAGAGTAGATCAGAGTAGAGTAGAGGAACGCCGTGCAGAGTAGAGTAAGGAAGGGTAGCGTAGATTACAGCAGGGTCTGAGTGGGATAGGGGGAAGCTATAGGTCGGAGCCCCAGTCGCATTCTATCAGAGCTGGCGCCTGGCGGCGGGCGCTGGCGACAGGTGCGCCACCTCCGCCGCTGCCTTCGTCGGCGGCGTCGTCGTCGTCGTCTTCGTCGTCGTCGTCGGCGTCGCCGTCGTCGTCGGGGGGAGGAGGGGGCATCGGGACCCTCCCGCCAAGTTTCCGTACTCCAGACCCTCCCGCTAATTTTCTTTGGGGGGCGAGGAGGAGGAGGAAGAGGAGGAGGGAGGAGGGAGAGAGGAGGAGGAGAAGGATGAGGAGGAGGAGGAGAAGGATTAGGAGGAGGAGGAGGAGGAGGAGGAGGAAAATGAGGGATGGGGGGGGGCTTCTGGGCCCCCTGGGTTCTTCCCGGGGGGGGGGTGGGGGAGGGGTCCCCTGGTTTGGACCCCCCCACCCCCTGGGAGTTTTTGTCTGCAAAGGGAGGGGGGCAGGGCCCCCCCCTCTTGGTTTTGGACCCCCCACACAACATATTCCAGGCCAGCGACGGTGGATCGCGCGCGCTCCCTCAGAGGTCCAGGGGCCCCGCACCACTCGGTGGCGGAAAAGAGGGGGGTGATGACAAGGGGGGGATGGATATCATGGCGTGGGCCATGATATTTCCCCAGATGTCATGGCGCCTCCTCTTGTGTCATTACGTCCCTGGCCCCCCCGCTGGGCCGCGCACATGCCGCCAGTCATGGCTTGCACCCCCCCCTCTTGGACACCCCCCTCTGGGCCGCTCCCGAACCACTAAGCACGAGCCCCCAGCCCCAGGTCGTCCTTCTCCTTGCCTAAAGTCGGGCATGTTCCTCTACAGGAGGAATGTTCAAACATAGTCCAAAAATAATGCGGGCACGTTTTTTTGGTTTGAAACAGATTTTTAATGTGTTTGGATGTTGGGATACTTCTGATTATTCTTGTTATGGATCCTTCAAAATCCGCCTGTAGGGGGACATGCCCGACTTAATCCTTGCCCTCGTTCTCCTGTTCATTTTGCTTTCGGGGCCCCTCCTGTCGCCCCAGCTTGAGGCAGCTCGAACAACTTGCCAGGACGGATCCGTGGAGTGGTCCAGGACCCGTTTTTAGCGGGTTCAAACATCGGCCTGTGTCAGATTTGGGCGTCACGGAGAGGATCGGGATGGTTGGGTTTCCGGCGCTGTCAGCTTCCAGGGGCCAGCTTTGGCCCCCCGCGAGCCCGCCAGACTGCCGAGCCGATCCTGGCCCCTCCCGGGCCGGGGTCGTGAGGCCCACCGCGCGATCCAGTCGTGCCGTCGGGCCTCCAGGAGGGGCGCCTGGCCAACGTCTTCACGCACCCGCGCGCCGTGATGATAAGGCCCGGCCAGTACCAGACGCTCATGGACGCCACGAGGTACGTCGACCACGTGCTCTGGGACCTGGTGCTCCCCTGGCTCGAGGAGTGCAGGACGGGCCACGCCGCGCTGGTCGTGGTCATCTCGCTCGACAGGTCCGGGGGCCTGTCGCAGGATGGTCTGGAGGAGCCGCCATTCGGACCGGACGAAAGGGGGGGATTGGGAAAGGGGGGGGTACGAAATTTGCTGCGTGCAGCTGGTTTCGGCCTCACCGAGGGGCCCATTCCTCGATACGTAGCCGCCTCCGGCGCCGGGACGCGCCGGGAAAATTAGCTGCGTGAGCTGATTCTCAACCCCCCCCTTTGCTATCCCCCCCTTTCGCCCGACCCGAGCCATGGAGAGCAGGGATCCTGAGTGAGAGGGGCCCGGAAGGCTTTGCGCAATGCTCGGCCTCTCGGGGCCTGTCCCCGGGCCCCCGAGAGGCCGTCCACAAGACTGCCCGGGACGAGCAGCTGGTCCTTCGGGGGACGCCCTGGGGCTCGGGGCCCGCTTGCCTCGGGGACCCCCCCCTCCGCCCCACGCCCGAGGAGGTGGTGGCCCCCCTGCTGGAGCGCTTCTCGCTGCAGGCGCTGGCCACCAGCCGCTTTCCGCTGTTCGGCCTGCTGGCGCACGCGCTGGAGCTGAACGCGCCTGACGAGTCGCCTCGGCCCTGCCGGGCGGACCTCGCGCTCTATTTCCGCGCCGTGCTGGCCGGCTCCGCCGCTCTCGATGGCCGCTTGGTGTCGGAGCTCGCCGCCGACGAGGCGGCTCCCCAGGGGGTGTGCTCGCACCAGCTTGCCATGACGGCCGCGGCTCTCGGCGGCTTCCCTCTCAGGCCGCTTGCCAATCGGAGTGTGATTCAGGCGTGGTGTCGGCCGACCCCCTGGCCAGTCTGGAGCGCGTTGCACACGCGATGGCGCCGTGCACCCCAGCTTCCGAGTGGGCAGAACCCCGTGCCTCTTAGCTTGTCGCCGCTGCGTGGCTTCCGGTCGTCTCGCTGGAGCTTTCTTGAGGCGAGGCTGCGAAGTTTCGATTTCAATGGCTGGTCCATCCCTGGGACCCCGATGGAGTCGCTCGCAGCTCCAGAGGCGCAAGACGATGGCTGGACGCTCGAATTCGATCAGGAGCTGGAACGGCGGCGCAATGGCGGGACTGATGATGCTGGCACAGTGCGTGTTGCTTTCCTGGAGTCGGAGAAGGGGGAATTGTTTGACGGCGCCATGAACATGGACCACCGCCCTCCTCAGCAGAGAGGCGCTAATGCTGTTGTGCATCGCGGCACTTTTGAAGAGCAGTGGCGCAGGTTCATGATAAACCCTGATGACCAGGCAGTTTTCTCGACTTGTCAGGTTGGTTACTTTGACAAGCGGCCCTTGGGCTTGATGACGGCATGGCATGCAGATTTCGTGCACTGGCCTCTGCGTCCAACGACGGATGACATTCAGGCGTTGGCGAACTATGATATAGTGATTGTGTTTGATGCGTGGCCGTTAGGGAGACCCCCCGAATTGCCTCTGGTGCGCGGACAGGTGCGACTGTGGATGCCCTGGGAGCCCGTTGCCATCGAGGGGGACGTCTCTTTCCCCGATGACTATTGCCCCGTTGTGCTCGATTTGTTTGCAGTGGCGAGTGTGCCTTCTGCACTGGTCTGGTACCACTTCTGGATCCAGCAGTGGCGGGACACCTTCCCCGCGCCGCCGCCTGAAAGCGGCGATGGCCCTCCCGAGGCGTTGGTTTTCTACTACGTGCCGGAGCGCACCACCGAGCTGGCGAGCGGCCTCAGGAGCATGGGCTACGAGGTGACGCACGCCATGCACAGCTCGTGGAAGCGATACTGGCGGTCTTTGCAGGGCGCTTTCATCGCAATACTACCAGCGCACAGAGGGGTTGCACGGCTCAGCCCAGGTCAGGTGATAGCGGATGCGGCAATGGCCAATTGTGTTCCCACCTTCTCACCCAGAACGAAGCTGCTGGCGCGACTGCTCCTGCCAGCCTTCCTGTCTTACCGCTCCCATGAGGAGTTGATGGCGAAGGCCCAGTTGTTGCGGGATCATCCAGAGTGGAGGCAAACCTTGTCCAGGGAGGTCTGCCGCAGGCTTCGTTACATAGACGGGCAGAGCATTGAGACACCACTGCAACTGTTACAGCGCGTCTCCTTGGAGGCGCCAGGCGACGTTCGCTGTCGCGTGACCGAAAAACAGTCGTCACCGAGTTGGAAGATCGGCATAGTCCCGACCACTGGCATACATGTTAATTCTGGCGGCGTTCGTTCGGGCCACTATTGTCTTCCTCTCTCTCTCTCCCTCTCTCTCTGACCATGCTGCTGGCTTTTTTTAAACTAAAGCATTGTGCCTCCAACGTTTGTTTCCCCGCCGAGGCGGTGACGGCTTTTATGTTCGCGTATCCCCACCAGCCCATTCAAAAACCCTGCCCGTGACAGCTGACGGGAAAAGAGACGAACATAGACGAAATGACAACCAGGGTGAACAGAGAAATCTCTGGGAGTCAGGGGGTAACCTTGGAAGGCCCCTTCGGGCCATCCCTGTGGCCAACATGGGGGCGAGGGAAGGAGGAAGAGGAGGAGAAGGATGAGAACGACGATGACGACGACGACGACGTCGACGACGACGACGACCACAACGACGAGGCAGATGAGAAAAAGGAAGAGGAAGACGATGAGGATTAGGACGAGGACGAGGACGCGAAGGAGAAGGAGGGCAACGAGGACGAGGACAGAGCTCTCAAAATCGCCTCTTGGAGTTCTCTTGGGGCTCTTGGGGGATCTTGGGGTCCTCGTGGGGCTCCTTTCGGGTGTGTTGGGGTCTTTTTGTGGCCCTCTTGGGGGCCCTGGAGGCCTCTTTCGCCCAGCATGGATGCGATCGGCCAAAGGAGGGGTTGTCCTTGATGTTAGTCTTTCTCCTGGGGCCATCAAACTCGTCTCTTGGGGTGCTCTTTGGACGCTCCTGGGCCGATCTTGGGCGCCCTCGGGGCCGTCTGGGGGGGCCTTTTGGGCCCCCTCTTGGGCCTCTCTTGGGCCATCATGGGTCCATCTCGAGGCTTCAAAAGCGCATCGGAACCGCAACGGCGAGAAGGCACCATTCATTGATTTCCCGCAGTTTGTTCAAAGGTTTTGGCCTCCTGGGGGTTTCTGATGGGGGCTCCGAGAGCCCTTGGAACCGTCTTGTGGCCATCGTCGGACCGCTTTGGAAGTATGTCGGAATCTATATTGAACCATCGCCAGCTATCTTGAGCCATCTTGGAGGCCATCTTGGAGCTTCGGAAGCCCTCTTGGAGCCATCTTGGGTCATCTTTGGCGCCCTGACCTATCGCGTTTCCCAGCAACAGACCTCTGAGGGGTGTGGCAAACCTCCCCGACGGGAAGTGGTTTTGAGAATAGGAAAATGACGTCGTAGATCACCTTCGCCCAAAGGGCTGGTGGGATTCTGGTCAGTAAATTTCAGAGGTTTGTTTGGCGATCGGTTCTAGTGCGCGTGATCGTGGCGACGAACGGTATTCCACAACGACGCATTGGCTTCCACGTGTAAAACCATCGCAGTGGAAGATGTCCTTACAGTTGCAGTTGGATGTGTTTCCCCCCCCCCCCTCTCTCTCTATATGTATATCGTATGTCTGTGTATGTTCCCCAATCAGTGCTTGCACTGAAGGGGTCCTCGCAGATGTTGAAGGATTTGTCGAACGTGCCCCGCCGATTTTGGTCGCACGCTGGGTTCCCGGGTTCCCGGTTCCGGGTTCCCGGGTTCCCGGTTCCGGGTTTTGGGCCGATTTCGGAGGGTGGCGAGGTTCCCGAGTTCCTGGATTCCTGGTCGATCTTCTTATCGATCGGTCTCACCATCGATCTCATTATCCACTTCTGTATCGATCTCACCATCGATCTCACAACCGATCTCATTGTCGATCTCACTATCGATCTCACTAGAGATCGCATGAGCGATCTCGCGATCGATCTCACTATCGATCTCATTGAATCGATTTCTCTCTCGGTCTCGCGATCGACCTTACAATCGTCCTCACTATCGGTTCCACCATTGATCTCACTATCGATCTCACATTCAATTTCAATATCCATAGTATTAATTCTCAAATCATTTACTGATTGGGTTTTCTCAGGTGTAAATTTATTGCGCTTTCTATGTACATATACACGTATATGTACAAGAATACAAATATCTCCCGAAATACCTTCTCTTTCTTCCTATGACAGATCTGTCACGTTAGCCCGTTCAAGTCGAAACGGGCCAAGGGCTCGATCGGATTTGCGTCCCTCGTCAATTCAGCGGGCGCTCGGGCCGGAGCTTCTCCTGTGCGGGCCTACACAGATCCTTCGCGACGAGCGCACGCTATGAGTCGTACGATCTCAGGCCTGAGACCAGCACTGCGGCGACGAAGAAGGTGCGCGGGGGCACTGACGGCGACGATGCTGACATGCCCCCTCAGGGGCGGTTCCATGATTAACGGTTGGTGCCCGCATGGCTCATCGGTGCTGGTGTCCGGCACTTCCTCGACCCGCGATTCGGACGCGGAGGTGAACGCCCTGGTGTCAGAGTTTCCCACGCTGCTGCCGGGATGCCGCCAGGGTTGTCCTTGCTGAGGGGGCGTTAGTCCAGACCGGACAGGTTCTTTCCCCGGCCCGCGAGGGGTGGATCCTGGCGGCGACGCTGAGCCTGATGCAGGAAGGTCACCACCCACCCAACCCATCCCGAAGGCCTCAATTTGCCCTCCATTTCCAGTTGGGGGGGGTCGGGGAACACTGAAAAACACATATGGAACCCGTACCCCCCCCAACCCGAAATTGGGGTCTTCGGGTTGGGTTGGGGTGGTCTGGTAGGTAGTCAGGAGGCGTGCTGAATCCTAATGGCCAGTGGCTGCCGCGGGGGGACCCCGTCTAGAGCTCCCCCGGGAGCGGCTCGTCAGCCGATGCGCGTGGCAGGGATCGGTTGTTGATCCCGCCGCGGCCGCAGGGGACCGCAGCCTGCCGCGCCAGGAAATCGAGAGCGGGCTGGCGGTGGCGACTCAGCGAGTGGCAGCGCTTCGTCGGCGAGTGGCGGCCGAGCACGGCGTTGGGATGGGGTCGCTTGATACCTGGAGCTCGAGAGCCCGGGAACCCGGAAACCCAGCCGTCTACCGATGTCAGTTCGGCAGCCCTTCAGTATCCGTAGGGACCTCTTCAGTGCAAGCATTGATCTGGGAACTTGTGCCAGTTTTCTATTTGAGGTTTCGATGTGTTTGTGGTGTTGCGTTTTCTCTTATGTTTGTTTGGTGCTACCTTCGATGTCTTGCTTGCGGCCACTCTGGCCCTTCGGCAGGAAACTCCCCACATGATTACAGTGTCCCACTGGGGATTCCCTGTGGCAGCGACCGCGACTTTCTTGCTGCCGCCCGCATGCCGCCATCAGCTAGTTGCTCTCCCCTTTTCGGTGTCCTCGTTGTGCGTACGGGGTTATTCTAGTTTATCGGCCTGGCCTCCTCCACTTCAGCGCAGGCTGTATTCGCGGGCTTGTTTCCCTTTTGCCTGCTCTCATGCCACCCTGTTTTACACAACGTGCAGATGCACGTATTGCGCAGGCCCTGCCCCTTGAACCTCCCTGTGCGACCGTCTTGCCGCACAGACGAGTTGGTTCCAGCCACCTTTAGCCCGAGCAGCGCCAGCTCCGGCCCCGTCTCTCGCCCTGGCTCCGCCGTCGCTCCCCCCCTCGCTCTCCTGCCGCCGTCCTCGCCGTCGGCGCCGTCGTTTCTCGTCGCCGCCGCGGTCGTGGTGTGCCTCCTGCAGGAGGGGGTGGGGGAGGCGGTGCTTCGGGAGCAGGAGCCGCAGCCGAGAAGGTCACGCGCGCAGCAGCGCTGCGCAGACGCGCGCCGCCGAGGGGCGAGGAGGCAGGCGCCGCGCTGCGGAGGGGCCCTGAAAAACCCGTGCGGCACTCGCGACGCCGGGCCCCCGCAGTGCGGGTGCGCGCGCAGGGCACTTGCCCCGCAGCCAGAGTCCTGCAGGCGGCGGGGCCATGCCTGCCCTGTGACAAGGGGGTCGGCGCCACGCGCACCACCTGGGTGCGCACGACCAGACCAGACCAGGAGGAGGAGGAGCAGGAGGGGGAGTGGGAAGGGGAGGGGGGCGCGGGAGGAGGAGTGACGCGGGGCGCTGCTGATTCAAAGCGGGGGCCCAAGACCACAGGAGGCGCAGGAGCACAAGACAGCACACACACACGCACACAGACACACACGCACACACACACGCACACGCACACGCACACGCACACGCACACACACACGCACACGCGCACACACAAGCACACACGCACACACGCACAAAGGCACACACGCACACACGCACACACGCACACACACACACGCCCACACGCACGCACACACACACGCACACACGCACACGCACACGCACACGCGCTCACGCACACGCACACGCGCACACACAGACACACACACACACGCACACGCTCACGCCCCCCCCTCACCACACACACACACACACACCCGCGCACACACACACTCACACACACACACACACACACGCACGCGCACGCGCACGCGCACGCGCACGCGCACGCGCACGCGCACGCGCACGCGCACGCGCACGCGCACGCGCACGCGCACGCGCACACGCACACGCACACGCACACGCACACGCACACGCACACGCACACGCACACGCACACGCACACGCACACGCACGCGCACGAGCACG